ACACACACACACACACACACTCTGCAGCAGATGAGCATCAGCCATGGGTGATCTTCAGTCTCTCTCTCTCCACAGATGGAGGAGGGTCTTCATTAATATTCTGTGATGATGGTCTGCTCTGCTCCAGTCATGCAAACGCTGAGCTCAGAGTCAAACTGCTCTCAGTGTCATGCAGACAGAGAACACCGAGACCACATCGCCACAGCAACCGTCTGCATCCCCTTAGCAACCATCAAGGTGCCCTAGAAACTGTCATGATGCCCCTAGAAACCATCAGGACACACATAGCAACCATCCAGATGCCCTCGCCAACAATCTGGATGCACCTAGTAACTGTCAAGATGCCCCTAGCAACCGTCTACAAGCCCTTTTCCAACCATCAAGATGCCCCTAACAACCATCAGGATCCCCTTAGAAACCATTTGTATGATCCTAACTACCATCCACATGATCCTGGCAACTAATAGGAATAGCATCCATCCAGATGCCCTTAGCAACCATTGGGTGTCCTTAACAACTGTAAAGATGCACCTAGCAACAAACTAGATATGCTTAGGCTGGATGCCATAAGCAACCATCAGGATGCACCTAGTTACTGTCAGGATCCCCTTAGAAACCATCCAGAAGACTGTAGAAACTGTCCAGATGCAACCATCCAGACACAACCAAGGTGCCCTTGGCAAAAATCACAATGCCCTTGGCAGTAAAAATGTCCCTAGCAACCATTAGAATACCTCTAGCAACAGCAACTGTTTCTCCATTTAGATAATGCTAGCAACCAAATACCCTTAGCAACCATCCAGACACCCAAGCAACAGCATCAAAGCCCCTAGTATCAGTCAAGATGGCCTTAGAAACAGTCAAGATGTCTCTAACAACCATATGGATAACCCTGGCAACCATCAAGACGCTCCTAACAACAGTCAATATGTCTCTAGCAACATTAGGATGTCCCTAGCAACAGTTAGGTTGTCCCTAACAACAATAATGGTGTCCCTAGAAACCATCAAGAGGCCCACATGCCCTTAGCAACAGACAAGATGTCTCTAGCAACATCAGGATGCTCCTAGCAACAGTTAAGATGTCCCTAACAAAGGTCATGATCTCCCTAGAAACTATTTTGATGCCCTTATCAGCAGCCAACATGTCTTTAGGAACAGTCAATTTGTCTCTAACAACCATCAGGATGCCCCTAGCAACATCAGGATGCTCCTAGCAACCATTAAGATGATCCTAACAACAGTCATGATGTCCCTAGAAAGCATCAGGAAACTCTTATCAGCAGCCAACATGTCCTTAGCAACAGTCAAGTTGTCTCTAGCAACCATTAGACTGCCCCTAGCAACAATCAGGATGCCCCTAGCAACAGGTAAGATGTCCCTAAAAACAGTCATGATGTCCCTAGAAGCTATTTGAAAGCCCTTATCAGCAGACAACATGTCTTTAGCAACAGTCAAGTTGTCTCTAGCAACCATTAGGATGCCCCTAGCAACAGTCAGGGTGTCTCTACCATCCATCAGTATGCTCCTAATAACAGTCAAGGTGTCTCTAGCAACCATCAGAATGCCCCAAGCAACAGTCAAGATGTCTCTAGCAACCATCAGACTGCCCCTAGCAACAATCTGGATGCCCCTATCAACAGTTAACATGTCCCTAACAACAGTCATGATGTCCCTAGAAACCACCAGGATGCCCTTATCTGTTGTCAACATGCCCTTAGCAACAGTCAAGTTGTCTCTAGCAACCATTAGGATGCCTCTAGCAACAGACAAGATGTCCCTAGCAACCGTCAGGATGCCCCTCGCAACTGTCAGGGTGTCACTAGCAACCATCAACATGCCCTTAGCAACAGTCAAGTTGTCTCTCGCAACGTCAGGATGCCTCTAGCAACAGTTCAGATGCCCCTATCAACCATCAGAATGCCCCTAGCAACAGTCAAGATGTCCCTAACAACAGTCATCATGTCCCTAGAAACCATCAGAATGCTCCTTTCAGCAGCCAACATGCCCTTAGCAACAGTCAAGTTGTTTCTAGCAACCATCAGAATGCCCCTAGCAACAGTCAAGATGTCCCTAACAACAGTCATCATGTCCCTAGAAACCATCAGGATGCTCCTTTCAGCAGTCAACATGCCCTTAGCAACAGTCAAGTTAACTCTTAGCAATCATTAGGATGCCCCTAGCAACAGACAAGATGTCCCTAGCAACCATTAGGATGCCCTTAGCAACCGCTCTATACTCATCTTCAGAACGGCAGGTGGGAGTGAGTGATGATGCTCGCTCAGGGTAGATCAGGGTGACGCTCTTCACAGGTTCAGTGTGTTTCAATCTCACAGAGCCTTCACACACCCACAGCTGACGCAGCAGAACACACACAGATGGAGGAATGGAGACAACACAGAGGACAGTGCTGAAATCTGCTGTCAGACGGCTGATCCCAGACAGAACACAACAACAGAGCGAATACAGCAGAGATGAGGATCACGCAGAGGACTACACACTCACACTCACACCATTTACAAGACCAGACGCACGACACACTGAAGCAGAGTCCAGAGTAAAGCAGACTGCCGCCTACAGCCGCACATGTGAAGGAGACCATGATCAAAGCTGGAACAC